CGCGGTCGACTACGTGGGAGTCCAGCGACATAGCCATTACGCTAACTGCTGGTTCCCTCTCTCTGTCTTTCTGGTGAGCGCATGCACCCTATAGCAAAAACCTCTCCCCACCCCCCCAAAAAAGAAAGGAAACAGAAATCAATAAGAAAAAAAATAGAGGGTTTAATAGAAGGACAGGCAAAAATGATCAGCAAACTTACCAAGGAAGAATTCTCCCTTTTTTTTTTAACTGGGGGTAAAGCAATCCCTATGCACTCCCCACTGCAGACTCGAGGGCCTCACCGCAGGGCCGTGGCACCTGCACGGTGCGGTGCATCAGCTCTGGTGCTGTGGAGCTGGGCGAGACTGAGAGGCGGGCCCTGGGGCACCTCCTGGGGCTCAGCACTGGGCAGTGCTATCTGGAGCCTCACAGGGAAAGGACAGTTCTAAATGCCCACGTTCCTTGCAGTAAGAGGTCAAGGGGATCAGACAGGAGCAAGAGAGTCAAAGGGAGAAGGCAGGCTCTTCTCGGAAGGACCTAGGCGGTCCATGAGCCCCAGTTTAGGTACTGACGCCACTTTTCTAAGCACATGCACTCGCCAGAGAGAGCCAGGATGGAGGGAGAGTGAGAAAGTACCCCTGGTGGGACGGCCACGTCGCAGTCCCTTCTCCTTCATTCTCCTCTTGGGATTTTGGCACGCACACACCTGGCAAGTGTTTCAAGGCCCCGGATCTGGGACTTGAACTGCATGGTCAGCCACGTGGGATCCAGAGCCTTAACCCCCACGCCACCGGCTAGCCCCAAGCCCGTAGGGAGCACAGTAGGACGCTCTCTGTCACAGACGCAGCACCATCAGGTGGCAGCTGTCTCCCGGGAGTCCTGAGCGCCATCGCCAACCTGTCTGGGTGCCTCCCTCTGCTGCTGCCTCCACGGTGCCCGGACACGTGCCCAGCCAGCAAATACAGACTCATCACGGGGGCTTGCAACAACAGGTACTGTGGGCCTGGTCTCCCGTGCGCGGGGTGTGCACGCAGGGGCCTCGGTGCAGGAGGCTCTGTGGGCCGTTCGTGAGCCCGTGCCCTCTGGACTCTGATCCACCATCCTTCCGCATGGTGGCTCGCCAGTTCCTGAGCACAGCAGGGCCCGCAGAGCAGCTGCCCCTCAGCCCTGCCCCAGGGAGAAGTGCTGCAAGGGCCACCCCCCTCCTCCCCTACCCTCACACAAATACCTGGAGGCTCCCTCCATGGCGACCGCCCGTGCTGGCCTGGCCTGGAAGTGCCCCTCCATGGTGCCCGCCCGCGCTGGCCCAGCCTGGAAGTGCCCCTCTGCCGGCCCGCTGTCTCCAGGCCTAGTCTGGAAGTGGCCCTCCATCCGCTCTGTCCCCTCCAGCACCACCACCATGGCTGAGCAAGGAGCGAGCCCTGCTGAGCCCTGGCCCCCAACCACACTGCCTCCCTCCCTCCCCAGGCTCCTGCTCCTCCTCCTGTTCCCTGGGCTCCCAAGTCCTCGGCCAGGTCTGCGGTGGCCTCCCAGGGCATGGGCGCTCACTGTGCCCCAGCTCAGGCCGCAGAGTGCCCTCAGGACTCCGAGCTCCCAGGAGCGGTGGCAGCAGGGTCCCGGCTAAGCTCCGTGGCAGCCCAGGAGGCCCTCCTTCCCAGGGCGTCTCTCGGTCTCAGTCTCTGGGGACCTTGTCATCCTCTCCTTCACGGTGCGCTTTAATGCCTGCCTGCCTGCCCCATCCTCACCAGGGACGTCTGCTCAGCCCTAGGCAGCAGGGACACATGGGGGACCAGGCGGCCGGGAGCACGGAGCGCGGCAGTCAGACGGGGTCTGCAGCCCTCCAGGCTGGGAGGGCTTCCCGGGAGAGGGGCTGCAGCCTGGGTTCCCAAGGGCCGAGGGGCGGGGCACTTGGAGGGCAGGGGCAGACTGTGGCTGGGGTCAGGAGAGATGGCAGGTCGTCCCTCCCTTCTGTGTCTGCTGAGACCCTGGGAGCCCCGTGTGGTGGCGTGAGCCCAGCCTGGGGAGGTCGGGGCGGCTGGGCTGTGGGTGCCGTCCTGGGAAAGTCGCGAGGGCACTGGCTTATCTCCCTGCCGCACTGACTCCGGTGGGCTGGACCCACCTGCTCTCCGGGAACACGGTCTCTGGGGGACCCCGCAGCTCCCTCAGAGCCGCAGTTGGAGGCGTGCCCTTCCTGGGTTCTGAGCCATAATTCTCCTTGGCATCCAGCAAGACATTCTGGAATAGAAGCCGGATTCTCACCTCAATGCCGGTCTCAGCTATAAGCTTTGACCCTCTGACTCCGGTCTCCCGCCTGCAAACGGCAAAGATGTCAGGGTTACTTGTGGGTTGGTCACGAGGCTGGAATGAGACCGGGAGCGGAGCGGCCCATGAGCTGGAGCAGTAGCGCCTG